AATTAGTCAAAGCACTTATTTACGAATTCTTTTTGTCCCCTTTATTAGTTCGGGGCGGCAGCTCTCAGCTGTGCTGAGGGCGGGCTGCAGCCGTAGGGTGCTGTGGGTTTTCGCCGTTCTCTGGGCGCTTCAGGAGCGACCAGAGTGATTTCGGGTGCGTCTGAACGTCTAGAGCCAGCGCTCACCGCAGTCCTGACTGCGGCTGCGCCCAGGCTTGCGGAGCCCAGCATGGGCATGAAGGGCAGGTTGTGGGCTCCCAGCCGTGCCCAGTAACTGGGCGTGCGTTGCCCATCGCAACCCAGAGCCAGCGGTGGGGACATCACGGCTGACGTGCATGGGACAGGACTTTGGGTTGGATTTTTGGCGAGTTTGGCGTCAGCAACCGTTGTCCTTTGGGATGCCTTTGCCTTCCCGGGGAGCTGGCCTCACCCTGGAGCAAAGCTAGAAGCTGTCAGGATCGTTAACTGAATTAGGAGCGTTTTGGATGCCGGGGAATTCTGGCCCCAGCATCATCCCAACGGCATCAAACCTCCTCTGGGTTACATGGTTACTGAGGAGCGCGCTGGGAGCTCCAGTCCCCGTCAGCTGCGTCTGTGTGTTTGCACAACCCTGTTCCTCGTTGGTGTTTCCTGGAAATGGGGTATTGAGTCTAAACCTGCCATAGCCAGAGAAAAACAAAAAGCTGGACTAGTCTGTTGCTTGGCTGAGGGTGGGATAATTGCATCCGCTTTTCCAGCTCGGCTAGGGCTCTAAACCCAAGAGTTCTACCTCATTAGAAATAACAACTTGTAATTAATAACTTACGATGTGACAGATATAGATGCATTTTTCTCCAGTGATAGCTCTTGCTCCAGATAGAGCAAGTACTAAAAGGAGAAGGCATGATTATTAAAAAAAAAAAAAAAAGGTCAAAGATACTTTCATATCAACCTTGAGGAGAGAAATACATTGGATTAACCTGTGCTCATCCTCCAGAGCTGCTCTGCTGTGCATTAGTTAAGGAAAGGAATGGAAAATTTTCCTAAATAAGCACGGCTGGGATTTTCCTGTGTTAGGGACTGGGGCATTATGTGCTGGTCTCTACCGAAGGGATGCCAGATCACTGCGGGTGGGTGTAAATGACTGAATTTAATCAGCAGCAACATTTCTAATAATGTCTAATGCTAAAACTCTCTCTAACACCATTTCAGCCTCTGCCTGCGAGGAGATGAGTCCCAAAACTTTGCCCTTGCCTTCCTTTAAGCTCATTATTCATAATACTTTGAAAACAGAGTCAGCTCCTGGTTTCTGCAGAAGGAGTGTAATTCCTGGAAATAGCGAGAGATGATCAGGGCAGGGGTGCTCCCAAATACGCAGGAGTGAGGCTTGTGAAAGTACGGGGTGTTCAGGCAAAACAGCATTGCCTGCGCCCTTAGGAGCGGCGCTTCTGGGTGAAAATCTCTTCTCTTGGACGTAGTCAACGATGTTTTTGCAGCCTCTGTTTTTGAAATAATAGAGCGGGGGTTTTAGCGGACGTTTGGTTTGGGTTTATGCTGGAATACACGCAGAAGCGCGCCTCTTCCTCGGGTGCGGCGTTGCGATTTGTGCGTAGGCAGGGAACGAACCACCGGCCGTTCACAGCTCTGGAGAGCACGTCGTGGTGGAAGCGTGTGTTCGGAGCGACGAACGAAACGCATCGAAATCTCCTACTTTGACAAACGGCTGGCTTTTTGATGATACGCGCTGCATACGGCGTGTTTGCTGCCAAACAGGAGTTTAAAATGTATACTGCAAGTGGACATTAATAATATAGACAACTTGGTACGATTTTAACAGGCCCATGAGCATGATGAAGGCACCAGCAGACCTGCTGGCGGTGTGCCCTGCTGGTGAATAACTTCTTAGGGCACAAAACCCGATCCGGAGGTAGTGATCAAGAAGGGCAGTCCCTGGCAGGTTGCACCCAGGTGCTGCTGGTGTTTCTGTGGGAGAACGTGGAAATCCCCACGGGTTTTTGGTTTGCTCCCCCGGCTCACGGGGCAAACGAGGGGGGAGCTGAGCTGTGGGCGACGCGTGGCCCCCGCCACGCTGACGGACAAACCCGCCGCGGCTGCGGTTCGGCTCACCCCCGCCGTGGGCAGCAGCGTAAGGGCTTTTGGATGCCCCGAGCGAGGTGCGGGGTGGCCACGCCGCGACTGTCCTGGCTGGCCGCCCCCAGGCCCGTGCCTCTGCCAGCGCCGGTGCCAGCTTCAGCTCTCCCAAGGAGGGAGCGCGGGCCGTGCGGGCAATGGCTCCGGTCGTCAACTCCGTTGTTGTTGCTGTAATAACACAAAGGAGGTGGTGCGAGCTGGCTGCTCGAGGCGTGTAGCAGCTGAGAGGCATTGCAGAGCTGATAGCTGAGAGTCCGAGGCTTTGCTGAGAGAAAGGGAAGGGAAGGGAAGGAAGAGCCAGGAACCGTAGCAGAGCTGGAAGAAAACCCGAGAATCGATTTCTTGTCCGAGGGCTTATCAGAGCACGTTAGCACCTCTTAGCATCATCTGCTTAGCGTGACAGGTATTCCCTATCATGACAAGCGTATTAGTTGCTGCTGATCATCCTGAGAGGCTGCTAAATAATTTGCACCCTCAGGTTTGTTAGGGAATAAGATGAATTGATTTTAAAGAAAAATTATATACCTGCAAATATTTATCTCTCCAGCGAGCTTACAAAGAGTTGCATCAACGGAACAAAATGCGAAGCTGATTTTCCTGAGATTCGGCAAATACATTTTTCGATAGGAAGCAGGTATAAAATTCCTCCTCTGAAAGCCTCCTGGCGGCAGCAGGTTTGGGAGGTGGCAGGGTGATCGATCAGGAGGTGGAAACAGCCCTGCAGCACAGCGGCTGGTGGGGATGGGAGAGCCGAACCCGGCCGGCAGCGGGTCCCGTACCCTGCGGGAGGCATCAGCCGTGGGATCTCTTGCGGTTGGGGATGGGGAGGAGGGTGGGGATGGGGATGCAGGTGCCAGCCGCTCCTGTGTGCTGATCCCTTCCCAAGCCCTGGCAGCATTCCTGGCCCCCGTGTTCCCCCCGCGGCATTTTGATAGCACACCTTTTACAATAAAGCTTAATTCTTTTTTTTTTTTTTTTTTTTTTTTGTGGGCCGGGGAAAAAAA